GGGGCTACAGATTTGGCTTCAATAGACACTGTATGTGGGGCTCCGTCCGGAGTCCACGTCAACAACTTCGGCCTCGTTGGCATCTCCTCAGTCTCTGACGATTTCAGCAAACTCAAATGAGGCGATAATTATCTGGGCTGGTGCATCTTATGGCCCAACTTATTAGGCAAGTGTAAATTTGAACCGGGGATGGAGGGAGAGAAGGGAGGGGGGTTATGGGATATTTGATTTATGGCCCATAGGGGAGGATGAACCTAGGCCAACACAGCATTTACCATCCACTATTAAAATTATGCCAGTAATGAAGCTGTGCTAATGTGCTTCGGTGATAAAAATATACACTTTAAGCTCTCTCCTTTGACTCTCTTGAATTATTTGAGGCTTATTTTATAGGACTAAACTTGTTTATGGTACTTATTTGCGCAAATGTGCAACGAGGTATCTAATAAAAGACGTAACGATTGAAGCACTTAGAAGAAAAACTGGTGAATTATACATCAAAACGGGCAGCTCGGTTAGGAACAGTGCGCTATGAAGTTTGGTAGGGGTACGTCAAACAATGTGGGGAAAATTAGCAAAATAAGTATGGGGAAATTTCCCCATACTTTTCAACAGGATTTTATCAGAACTAGTGAGAAAACTTGTTATTTTTAAAGTTCTGCAAGCTCATATTTTACAGCAAGAACACGATTCAAAGTTTCAACGTGTCACAAGGTCTGGCTTTACATGACTGAACTGTTTTTATGCTTTTGTCCACATGAAAACAGAAAAAAAACTCAAACGGTGTAACTATGCCGGGCCTTTGTGCTGCTAAAACTGTTCCCGTGTGAAGAGTCAAAACTTTCTAAACCTTTGCGAATAAACTCTTTTTACTCCCACAATATTTCAAGTACAAATTACACATCCAATTATAGGCATTTTAGTCTTCTTTCACATAGTATGTCTCTAATTTCTACAGGATTTACACATTTTTCTCAAATCCCTTTAAGTACAAAAGGCATAAACCAGTGGTGCCCAACGTGGGGCCCACGGGCCAAAGTTGTCCTGCCAAGTTGTCCTCATTACTATATTAAAATTTCCTTTTAAGAATCAATGTGTTTACACTTACTGATTCCACTGACTGACTTTAATGTTAGTCGGCCTGACTACCATAATGGCACTACATGGATTACACACAGTAGAGTGGCTAATTTGTGTATTTATTTTTTATAATTTATATTTTATTTTGACAAACTTCCTACCATCCCTCGGTAGCTTCCTGCCACTGAATAACATTTTCCTTTGACAGAGACAGGCACTCATGGCTGCCCGGCACACACCACTCCTGGGGGCGGGGTTTTGTGACCCACAGAGTGAATGCCTCAGGTAATCACATGTACTATCATTCCCCTTGTGTTGTCATAATTGTATGTTTCCATAGAAAAAGACAAACCTGGCTCTCTGCATTTAACTTGCTGCACCTGAGATACACCCAGGTGGAACAGTGGGCAGCTATGCAAGCACCCGGGGAGCAATTCGGGATTAGCATCTGTTACGGAAGCACAATCCGTAGTGTACTTCCGGGTCGCCGTTATGAATAAAAACTGTCTTAATTTACTTAGAACAGTACGTGCTCTATCGTCACTGATCTTCATGTAGCTAATTTACGCCACTCAATCATCTGTTAATATGATCTGCGACGCATTAGAGCTGACCCCCAGCCTGGGCTGAAGGAGAAAAACCCTGTAAGATACAGAATGAATTATTTCCTGAGCGCCGCTCAGTGGTGAAGCTGCAGATCATTCAAACTATGACGCAAATATGTCAATGGTTTTAACAGAAATACGAGTGGCGTAAATTAGCAACATGAAAATCGGCAGAGGTAGAGCACGTACTTCTCCAAGTAAATAAATACAGTTCTTATTCATAAACGGAATTATACTGGTACATTTTCCTTAATCTAGCATATTCAACGGCGATCCGTGCGACAATGAGCAACACTACGGATCGTGCTTCTGTAACAGATCGGGGAATGACATGTACCAAACCTTTCGCTCAGGGTTTAAATTTTCCTACCATAACTCCACCCACTCCGTCATCATGTGACCAGAAGTCTAACCGAAATGACCAATGAGGGATACTCTCAAGGACCTTTGTCCCATTCAGATCGTCATTGTATTTTGCGCCTCAAGCACATACCTGTTCATCTGCAGCGATAATGGAAAACGCACGGAGAATTTCTTATGATGCAGCTTTCAAGCTAAAAGCGATCGATCAGCTGTCCAAGGAGGAAACAGCTGCTGACAGCGAGACGGAGGCCATGTTTGGTGACGTCTTTCTGAGCCTCGAAGAGGACTTTAGTGCAGGAGGAAGAAGAACCGTGATGAGCGACTTCTGGTCGACTACCGGTACTTTTTAATTATTTTTAGCCACGTTGAAGGCATTTTTCAGAAATAAATAAATAAATTACCGGCCGTTCTCCTCCGGGTCACGTGGGCTCTTCTTCTTCCCGTGTGACATCTTTCCGTGTACGGAAATTATATGTTTAAATACCAGTAGAGCATCTCCAGGGCTCAATGTGTGCTGGATCCTATCAGAATAAAATTTGGGAACGCTCTTATTTTGAAGGGTGTGCAACTGTTTTCTTGGCTCCGGTAACTCTTCGGCCCAATAATAATAAATTTATGAACACATGTTGCAGCCTTGAATGAATAAAACCTATATTGTAAGTATGTAAACTGAAAATAATAACATAAACTCTCATTTTCAGCTTCCTAATGTCACATCGGAGCGGTTGCTTCCCATTTCAGCTTCTACTCTTAAAGTTCAACGTCAAGGGCAATTTTATGAAAAAACAAAAATATAATTAAACGTTTTGCACTAGGCATAAGTTCCTGTGCTTTTGTGAACAATGTGATGTGTGAATCCCTGCAAGAGTTCTCTGAGCTGTTTGTCGTGCAGTCCGAGGGTTTGAAGCTTGTCGGGGCGACCAGGACGCTTTTCTGAACCGAGCAAGACGATTGAGAGCAACTCTTTTCTAAGACAGTGACAACGAGCTAAATATTAGGCAGTTTTTTCACTTTTATACGTTTATATACTAAACAACTAGTAAGGTAAGAAATGACCCTGCATTAATGCACTTATAAATCACACTAAACGTTCAAAAATAGCCTAAATTATAAATATGAACGGGCTTCAGTGGGGATTTTAACATCTTTTTGGGGGTGCTCAAGCGTCCCTACATTTTAACTCAGCACCCCTGAAAAATAAACTAGCGTTAGGAACGTCCCTTACCTGCAGAGCTGAAGCTTCACAGTCAGAGATTTCAATAAGAGTTTACAGCTGTTGTTTCAAGTTAATCTACTGCAATAAACCTTTACAAAATACACAAGAACGCAGGAAATGGCATCTACATTATTCTAAATTCTCTGGGGGAGAACCCCCAGAACCCCCATCCCACCACCACCACCACCACAGCCTGTGCTGTAATGTTCTTTATACAGAATGGAAGGATAAATGACTGTATAATAAAGAAATGAACTTTACTTAAAGAAGTATTTGCATTTCAAGTATTATTGCATTTGGCCCACAGCCCTCTGAAGGTGAAACATTTCAGCAAAAAAAAAAACTGTCCAGATGACCTGACTGAAAATTGTTGGATTGTATACCTGTATTATTGAGTTGTATTTTTTAAAACTTGCCATAAAAACAAAGTAAAATAAAAACCATAGAAGCATAAAAGTGCACACCTGGGACCACGAGAGTCTTCTGCCGCTCACGGTTCAAGAATTTTTAAAATACGACTCACAGTTTTTACACACAAACCGTTTGTTTGAGGCTTACTTTTTAGTCTCAGTTTCTGTCTTTCTTACTTGAGAGCGCTGTCAGACTTGAAAGGCGCAGATGTGGTTACCATAGTGACCCGAGTACAGCACTGGCAACAGCTTTAATTTAAAAAAAAAACATGACTCAGAATTTATACACAACTGTTTGTTTGAGGCTTACTTTTTAGTCTCAGTTTCTGTCTTCCTTACTTGAGAGCGCTGTCTGAGTTAAAAGGCGCAGATGTGGTTACCATGGTGACCCGATGAAGGCACTGGCAACAGCTTTACTGTTCCTTTTTACTTTGTGTACAGTGTAAACACCAAAATGTGGAGTTTTTACAGATGATTGTTCCGAATATGGTGGCTGCCTTCATAATTCACCAGAAATATTCCAGTTTATCTAGAAAAACAACGACTAATAGTTTTGTTTCAGTAATTATTTCACATTTAACCAATATTATAACAGCAGAAGGTTCAAATAACACCTAAACCCGTTAAAATTAAGCCTAGAGTTACTATTTTTGGGCTTTTCAAACTTCGCCTCCATTAAAAACCAGCCTCCATTAAGAAACTTGGTATTTTTACAGTTGCCGCCGTCTGCTCGAGCTTTACGAGCTCCCAAACTAAAAGAAACGTTTTAACCGTAAAACAGCCCTTCGGAGCTGCAATCCGGCGGACATAAACCCACTCACGCAGCAACGAGGCTCACGCACAGCTGCTTTATCAGCCCGGTAAGACGCTCCGGAGGAACGTGAACGCAGCAGGCCCGACGTTTGTTCCATTATTTCATGTTTTCCAGCAGAAGCTGCTCGGGGTTCCTGAGCAGACGAACACCTACAGGCACGGCTGTTCACTGCTGCAGGCGTGCGTTTCCAGGTGTTCGCGGTTTTTGCCGCCGGGAGCCGTTTGCTTGGCGTTGGGGGGCTAAGCTAACGACCCTCACCTGGCGCCGTGGCTCGCGAGCGGCCGAACACCGGCGCCTTGAGCTGTCAACACGCAGCAGACAGACGTTAACGATCACAACCACCCGGTGAACGTTACTGACTGCGACCCGGTGAGCGAGTGTGGTGCAGGAGGCTGCGCGCTACATTCCGCCTTACCCGCTTCGGTTCAGTCGGTGCGCGGCCGTTGTTCCGACGGAGCGTGAAGCAGCTCCCGGTGGTGGCGGAGACTCAGCTGCTAGCAGGCTGGGTACGGCAAGCCGATGCGTCATTTAATGGTAGAGCGCTTTAATGTCGTCCTTCAGATACCCAGAATGCAGTTCGTTCGCCCCGCAACCGAACGTTTCATAGATCTCGTACTAACTGGCACTACGGAAGCCTAAAGAGGACATGCTAGAAAATATATTTCCAGCGTTTTCTCTCCAGATTATTTATCAATATCTTCATCTCAGGACATCAGCTTTCATTCTCTCAATAGCAGGGACGCCAAGAAAGGGGGAAGTGAGGGGGTGATGGAACCCCCAGTAAATAGCTGCCCCCCACATTGCCCGTCCAAAATGCGTCTTTTTTGGCTCCTCGGCTGTTGTTTAATGTGAATTGTTAATTTCTCCAAGCTATTTGGGATTAGTAGGACCTCACAGACTTTTAAACAAATATTGTTTTGAACATTTAGTAGTTAAAAATACAACTATTAGTATTTTTTAATTGGAAAATGAATTGAAAAAACAAACAGTCTAACTTGAACAAAATAAAATATTATGATGTGTATGGCCAATATAAGTACACAGGGTCTCAGAAGATTATATGAATATTTTATCACAAAATTTAAAAAGACAAACTTCACTCTTAATGATATCAAACAAGTTTTTATTTTTTTAACGGGTTAAATAAAACAACAGCATAATGCAACTCCCAAAATTATTTTATGGCTGTTGGCTTTGATGTGACACCCCAAATCCTTAGTGGCCCCCGTCAGGCAGCCCTTTAGAAAACTTTGTGGGAGCACCCCTGCTTAAGAATAACCTTGATGTGTTGGTAAAATGAGTCGGAACCACCAGGAACAGGCTTCTAACAGGTTTTATCTCCAGAAACATTTGTCTTATAACTTGACTGTTTTTCTGTGCTGGCTGCCGTAGACTGTGGAAATCCCTTTGTATAATGTTTGGCATCACAACTCATGTTAACAGTGCGAGTCACTTTTGTTTATTTCAACTTTAAAAAACAAAACAAATGCTTGTCTTGCAATGATTAGTACTGATATAATACAAAATAACAAACAGGTATTTGTTTAGAACTTTTTTAGCTCGCGAACGATTGGAGCTAAAAATGTCACAGCAAAAGATTTAAGGATTTGTGGCCGTTCTTGGCTTCCGTACAAACATGTCACCTCAAGTCACAGATCGACTCTGAATAGAAAGAAAGCCCCAGTGGATATTGTTTTTATTCTTCTAGGAAATAATGACTTCCAAATATCTGCAGTGTCACCATAAAAAACTGTTAAACTTTTGAGGAAGTTTTAGCTATTTTCCTCACATAAAATTCTAGTTATAAGAACTTAAAATATAATAGTTATTATTATGTATGTTATATTTAAATGTTAATATGAGTATCTGTATAAAGTAACTAGAGCTAGATATGTGGTTTGTTTATATGCAGCAACGGTCTGCCATACTTGGTTACGCGGGGTCTTGAACAGAAGTCACGTGTCGTGTTTTTGTTGTTGCCGCCGCCGCTGTGGCAGCGAGTAGCTAAAGTTAGCGCGCGTGTTCCACACATTGTACCTGCAGCTCTTCCACCTGGTAGGAGAACACTTTTAAACTGAAGTAATGTCGGACCGCACTTCCTGTCTGCGACATGTGCCAGGACGGCCCTGCCGCCAGCGCACAGCGAGCTCTGCTTTATGCCACGAGCTAAAATAGATGCATGCTATAAATCAACATGCATTTAGCAATATCGATATTTTATAACAATGTTTTATTTCTTTTTTTAATTGTTGTTCACCTGAATGCTAATTCATTTCCGGTTTGGTGCTTTTATTTTTGTAAATACGTTTCGTAACTTCCGTTTCTTTTGACGACGCTGCGTTTTTTGTAATTTCATTTAAACCGAGTTAACTCGTTTAATGTATTTTAAATGTTGACGATGCGTTGTTTTTTTTTAAATTAAGGTAAAAATTAAATTATTTTTTGTGGCTAATTATAAAAACTGCGTTTCTTTGTGTTTATTTTGCTAACAGACTGAGTCCAGCTGTTAAGAACAAAGTGAAGCAGGCTCAGCTACTACCACACCAACTTTCAGGCTAACTCTGCTGAAGTGGCTGTGGCAGCCATCTTGAATCAGCTCGACCATAAAAGGTAATGGGTTTAAGACATTTACCCCCAGTTTGATGAAATATTTTGCTAACAGACATGTAACATCTGGATGCGTAGTGTGGTTTGGAGCAGATTTACTGGCCTTACATCCACATTATTCACTTTACTGTTTGTTTTAACCGTACCGTTTATACTTTGGACTTACATCCTTTAATTTCCTGTCAAATCAGCCGTGAGGTGTTCATTCTGGTTGTGCTCACCGACCTCCAGTGGGTTTTACCACACGGAGCTCAAAAACACGTACAAACGTTTGAGCGCTGCTGGATGCGCCTTGCAGTGTGAAAAATGCGGCCTTTGTTTGAACGACCTCGCTTCTTCTGACAGGAACAAGCTGAGCGGGACTTCCTGATGGAGGTGGAGCCTGGCGCTGCACGCGCTGCATGCTGGGAGACGAGAGGTTCGCGGCGACTGTCGGGACTTCCTCACAAGCTCCTGCGGCGCCTCATGCCTTTTCAGCGGGAGGGGGTGGAGTTCGCCCTGTCCAGGAACGGACGGTGAGCGAACGCACAACGCGCCGAAAACCAGAGGCAACAAGAATAACAGACTACGTTACCCGACAACTACTTTTAATGTTCGACACATAGTTTGTGTTTATTTTGAAACTTGTCGTATTGTGGTTTAGCCTCCGTTTGTCAACTTCCTCTTGTCTTTCCCGTAACGTGCACGTAACGATACTCTCTCAGCGAAAACGCACCCAGAGCGTGCTCAGGAAGCAGATTCACGGCTCGAACATACACATTTAAACAATCACTACGGATCACGAGGGAACCTTCAACACGCCTTTAACACGTCCATAAGACAAAATGCCATTCCAGACGCTTGGAAAACAGCCTACACAATGGCACTTCTTACAGCTCTGTTAACAAAGGTGTTCCACAAGGTACAGTCTTAGGACCCACCCTCTTCACAATATAGCAAAGTAGGTCAGATCATTCAAGTGACCTAGTTTCCCCTAGAGAACGGGCCATGGCGGAGCGCTCATCTCGTCCGTGATTTTTGTGGAGGGGTGGGGGATCTCCCAAAACTCTCCACTCTGACCTGGTTTGAGAGAATGAGGGCTGCCCTGTCACGATAAACAATAAATCAATTAATCTCAAGATAAATTAAAATTATTGAGCTCATTTTCATTTATCAGCTTCATCGTTTCTTCGTGTCGCTCTCTTTCTACTGAAGACACTGGAGGACAAAAGGATCAACCGTCCCTTTCTCTTTAAAATCCATTTTAACGATCCAAAATCACGTTTTCCAATCGTTAAAAGAGCTAAGCTGCGAGCTAAGCTGCGAGCTAAGCTAACAGGCCGACCTCGGGGAAAAACCAACGTCTCGTCGAAGCTCCAAAGTTCACGTTTGAAACTCGTGCCTGCACAAAGAAGCTGAGAACTTGTTTACTGATTTTTTTTAATTAAAATCTTTGTGTGAAAAATGCTAAAGAGCTCAAACCACACGAGCGTCCACCATTTTGAGAACAGAAAAACAGGAAGGAGAGACAGCCCATGTCACGTCAACAGGCCTCCCTCCCATTTTTCTTAAAGGGACGCTGCTCAAACGTCCATCCTTTGGTTTAAACAGTCTTCTACTGCCATCAGGTGGTCAAAAAAGGTACTACACGCACAACAAACCAACATTTCTTCTAAAATTTGACAATTGATTATTGTCAAATTTCAAACAATATTGTCGTTTATCAAAGTAATTTCTGAGACTGTTAATCACCCAGCAACATTTGGTATCGCGACAGGCCTAACTTTATGTCAATCAAGTAACAGATTTCAAAGCGTGGATGGATGATGGGCTGGCATCTAATTTTTTAAAGCCACGCAAACACACTATTGTTAAATAATGTGTTTGCGATTGACGTATTGTGCACGCCTGCAGTGAAGTCTTACTGAGAGAAAAATACCAACTGCTGGGAAATGTCCGAAATCTTTTATCTTTTCGTTAACTTTTAAGTGTACAGGACTGCATCCAGTGCATGCTTTAACAAGATTGTCACGTAAACCAGCTAAATCTGTGCCTGTCAATCTTTTTGCAGCTCTTTAACAAAGCGCCTGTGTAGTGAGGACGCAGAAAGATGGAAGACCATTTGAACACGCTGATCGAGCCAGTATTGGGTGCTTCCATCTGAGAAGTGCTCTGAACGATCTTTCATTACCGTACACGTCGCATCAGTCCAAATATGTCTCATACAGTTAATAAAGTGGAAACAAACATAAAAAAGTCACTTGGCCGTATAAGGCGCATCTATTGTGTGTCATCGCTGGCGCGTCGTGTTTGTTGTCACCACTGCCCACTCAGAAACGTGGGCCCTTGTTGTGCCACTAATCGATCGGCGGCTGTGGGATCGTGCACGGGAGGTCTTTAACAAGAATTTAACAAGATTAACACTTAAAAACAATTATTTGTGTGCTTGACTTCATAGTAAAGTTGTGTCTCAACTGAACTTTTCCTTAATAAATGCACTTCAATGGTCAAATCAGCTGCGGTTCTCCAGAGCGGCGCAACAAAATGAAGCTGATTTGATGTTTGCTCCACGAGTTCCGGCGTGACACCAAGGTGGCTTGGTATGGCAAGCCAAGTGTCCCATTAATAGCCACTTTTACCTATTATTGACACACTTGGCTTGCCATATTAGTTCAGGGCCCTCTAGTTGCTGAAAATGTTAGTGTTCAATATTTTCCATGTCAGAATGAATGAAATCGTCAGATCTCAGCCAAAAATTGGTTATAAATATGGGGGAGACAAAAAAAACATACCGTATTTTCTGGCCTAGAAGTCGCACTTTTTTGCATAACCCTGCAACTTATAGGCGAAGTGACGTATTTATGGATTTTTTCCATATTTCTAAACCAATTTTTGGCTGAGACGTTTTCATTCATTCTGGCTAAAAAAAAATTAACAGTACCTCTTTCAGCCACTAGATGGCAGCAGAGTGGTAGTAGCAGTATGGCATACCATTGTATCATGTAATAGGTAAACGAATTCAAAAAAGTTAAAGACAAAAACAACTGGACTTTATTTATTTTATACTTATTTTTTTCTTGAACTTTTTTGAATTTACCATGTCCTGGATGACTGAGACTCTTCACCAGCTATTAATGACACAATCGGCCTGCCGTAGTCCCCCCACCTTCGTTCTGCTCGCTGCTCCGCCCCGACTAAATGCAGCTGATTTGACCATTGACGTGCGTTTATTAAGTAAAAGTTCAACTGAGACACACCTTTACTATAACTTCGAACAAACAAATAATTGTTTTTAAGTGTTAATCTTGTTAAATTCTTGTTAAAGTCCTCCCGTGCACGCTCCTGCAGCCGCCAATTGGCAGCCAATCAGTATTTGGCACAACATTTCCAGGTTGTCAGCGGTGACGCACAATAGATGAGACGTATACGGCGAAGCGACGTATTTATGGATTTTTCCACTTTATTAGACAAATATAGACTCATGAGACTTACAGGGTGGTGCGACGTGTACGGAGGAAAATACGGTATATTGGCTGCTTCGGTGTGTAAGGCACAGGACGTGCAATTTTATGCAAAAGGTGCAACTTATATGGCGAAAAATACGGTAATGAGAAACGGGCGAGAACGCAGCTGAGCGGATGAACTTGATCTTTATGGTTATTTGTCTCTAACGTTGTTTATCGACCCTCGTTCAGCTGTTGGCTGAAGGGACGTGGTGGACGGCCTCCATCTTATTATTCCACGTGATGCTTCAGTTGTGGTGTAAACGCAACGCATGGATCTGGTTTCACACCGGTCCTCTCTACAACCGGAGCTTCATCAAACGGCTTCAAGCTTCACTTTGCACCATTAAAGGAAACGATCTCGACGTCTTAATGGCTGTTTTTTGTGGTATACTTCAACAAGCGTTGCTTTTTTCCAACATCTCTGATGGACGTGTTCCTGTTTATAAATCTGAGCAATAAAACAAAACTTCTGCTCAACTTCTCAAGCGCTTCCATCAGACACGTCTCACGGGTTTTTATCGCAGCGACGTTCGCACAAACAGCCATTTCGCTCCGCGGCAGTCGCGCAGCCTCCCACACAAAGCCGATACAGCAGCATCCATAAGTATTTTGACATTTGATGCTCTGGTTGGCTGCTCTTGATGCTCTGGATGAGGAAAGACTCGAGGACGGCGAGGTTTGAGGTAGGGGAAAGAAAACCTCCCGCCCACGGTTTCCTCCTACGCTGGTAGATCTCTAACATCGTGATGATGTGCAGCACATTTCAGGAGGGGCTGCCGTTTATTGCCCACCGTCAGCTTGGCGTGTACTGGAGCTCCATCTGAAGGTGGTGGTGTCCTGCGCTTCCTCGAGAGGTGAAACCCCTTCCAATAATCCAACAAGTCTGCCGCTGCACTCGTTCCAGGCCTGCTCTGGGTGTTTAAACGTTTCCTCCAACAGAGTTAGTGGGTCGTCGGTTTTAGTCTCAACTTCTATTCAGGATAATGAGTAATCTAATAAAATGATCAGAATACGTAAAGATTTCTGTGATTAAATGTTGTTTTCACTTGGTGAAAATCAGATTGGTAATAAAAAAAGGCAATAATTCATTTGTTTTCCAAAGTTGTAAAAATAAATGTGCGGTACCGAGACGGATCCGTGTAGGTTCTTAAAAGGTCAAATATAATGCAGATCAGTACAGACAGTTGGAGTGTGATCCAGTACACTGTGGTAAGATGCATCACAGGACGGTAAGAAAGAATACCTTCAGACAGTCTCATGCACTATAATACGTCAGGGTGCAGTACGATACAGAACCGTAAGATACAGCAGGGTTCATTCTCTAACAGGGTTGTATAGTACAGTATGGTAATATAACACAGTATAGTTGGTACACTACAAAATACCATGGACAGACAGAGTATGATGCAATACACTGTAGTAAGAAACAACACAATACGTTCCGATACAATATAATACAATATGTTAGTATATGGTACGATACTATAAAGTAGAATATAATACTGTACATTCTGATACTCTACAATACAGTATGGTAATACATTGTACTACATTACGATAGTAATATACAATATGGTGAGATGTAGTACGATACAATACATTGAGCATGCATCAGGATATTATGGTAAGATACTGTATGAAACGATACAGTATGGTTATATGCATGGTTACATTTAGATACGGTGCAGTATTATACAATACTATATGGTAAGAAAGATCACAGTACATTCCATCCGTTATCTTCCGCTTGTTCTGGACTCGGGTCTCGGGGGGGCAGCATCTTGAGCAGGGAGGTCCAGACCTCTCTCTCCACAGCCTCTTCCAGCTCTTCTGGGAGGACTCCAAGGTGTTCCCAGGGTCTTCCTCGGGGCCTCACCCCAGTCAAACATGTCCAAAGCACCTCCCTAGGGAGGCGCCCAGGGAGCATCCTTACCAAATGCCCGAACCACCTCAACTGGCTCCTCTCGATGTGGAGGAGCAGTGGTTCTACAATATAATACGTGCCGATACACTAAGCAGGATAAAAGTGC